TTCTTTCTTTCTTTCTTTCTTTCTTTCTTTCTTTCTTCCTTCCTTCCTTCCTTCCTTCCTTCCTTCCTTCCTTCCTTCCTTCCTTCCTTCCTTCTTGCTTTCTTTCATTCTTTCTTTCTCTCATTCTTTCCTCATCTGGTGCTGAAACTGCATGAGTAGCTTACTGAGTTCCCTCTCCAAGGACTTCTCAGCCACTCTGACCCAAGCCCCTGCTCTGACTCTCCTAAGGTATGTAGGGATCATTTGATTCTGCCGGTTTCTGTCACCCACCGAATCTGATTCTGGAGTTTGCCTCTTCAGCCGCTTCTTCCCTCCACCTTAACTAACCATCCATCTCTCCTCCTCTACTCAGTAAGTGTCTTCTCTTCCTTTTTGCACTGCCCACCATGTAGGCATATCCCTGCTACAATCTTTGGGCTGCCCACCACGTGGGGGTCCCCCCTGCAGTGCCCTTTGGGGTCTCCACCACGTGGGCAGTTCTATCTGCTAAGACACCTCTCCAGCTGTTTTCTCCTCTACCTGCTCTCAGCACTTGTCTCTCCCCTTCTCCCGGGTAAGTGTCACTATGGATTTCCGGGCTTTGTCTCCTTTTACTGGTGTGCCAGGAAGCTTCCTCTCACATCACGTGGAAAGGGACATCTCTCCTCTGACATGTCTCTCAGTCCACTTGGGGACACCTTGGATTGAAATTCGTGTTACCAGGACACTTATCCCTTTGCTCCCTCATGGCTCCTGAGCTCCTCCCTGGAACCTCGTCACCTCCCCCAAGGAGCTGCCCACATGCTCCTGGGTCTGCCACCCTTTCCTGGACCCTCCCTCCTTTTCTCCTTGGACGCAATTCCTTTCTCAGACTCAAGAGATTTTCTTAAAGCCTTGCTGTCTTACTGAATATGCTTGGCCTCAGTGTAGCTCCATGGCCAAAGATGGCACACTGAGTTCCAAATTCTCACAAATTGTAACAACTTCTGCCACCACAGGTGGGCAGATTTTTTTTTTTTTTGACTGACAACTCACAAAAAACAAAATGGAGACTTATTATTAATTATGAAAGTCCAGCCTATAGCTTAGGCTTGTCCCACTAGTTCTTATAACTTAAATTAACCCATTTTTATTAATCTACATTTTGTTTTGTGGCTTTTAAACCTCTCTTTTATCTTGTACTTCCTATTTTTCTCTGTGTCCTCTGACATTCCTTCCGTGCCTCGGTTTATCTCCTCTGCTCCTCTCTCTGCCTGGAAGTCCCACCTAACCTCTTCTTGTTGAGTTATTGGCCATTTAGCTCTTTATTAAACCACTCAGAAGGCACCTTGGCAAAGTCACATCTTTATAGTGTACAAAATGATTATTCTACAACATTTCCTCCTTTTTGCCTTCAGAAATAGATCCCTGAATCTAATCGCCTTTGTTCTGCTTTTTTCCTGACCGTGACCAATAACAATTTGAAACCAACCCTTCAAAACCATGAGAAACATTCATAACCTATTGAATGACCAAAAACCACCAACCCACCTCATGGGAATGTAGGCATCATGTTCTCTAGACTGTTTCCTGTTGTCTGGTGGTGATGGCATCTTTCGGGACCCTGAGAAAAGTAGGATAATGGTCAAGTCCTTGGAGAACTAGCAGTAACATTTGTTGTCCAGTATCTGTGCAATGGGAAAGCACAAGGCTTATCTGCAGTCCTGGCTAGAATAGTCTGTAAGTCTGGACCATCTCAGCCAGCAGCCTTGAAGCTGTTTTAGATGTAGAACTCTAAGGAAACTGCAACAGAGGCATCTGAGAGGCTGGATCACCTCAGCCACCCATTTTCATTGGTGTCTGGTTCCCTTCCTCTGAAAACACACAAACTTTCAAAGGTAACATACATATCTGTACTGGCATAAGTATGGACTATGTGTTGTACACAAGCCAGCCAGGGATGATTTTTTTTTGTCTTATGTTTGAGCAAATAAAAAATGTGTCACCTGTCTTGTAGTTTTTCTAGGTTTATTTATTTTATGTTTGTAGCCAGGATTTTTAGGGGGGTCTCCCCTGATCAAATCTGATCTCAATCAACCTTGAATGAAATTATAGCCTTTAGTTTTCTGTGAAAACAAAAGCATAACCTCTTCCCCAAAGCCATACATTTTCTGACTTCCATTTTAAAGTTAAGGCATTCCTAAACTCTCCAGGCTTGGTTTAATTCAGCAGTTCCTCTTACAATCCCATGTCTCTCAGCAGCTATCAAAAAAATAAGCTTGCTGGGCAGTGGTGGCCCACGCCTTTAATCCCAGCACTCAGGAGGCAGAGGCAGGCGGATATTTGTGAGTTCGAGGCCAGCCTGGTCTACAGAGCGAGATCCAGGACAGGCACAAAGCTACACAGAGAAGGGAGTATCTCTATTGGAAGGTGTGGCCTTGTCGAAGGAAGTGTGTCATTGAAGTCTCTTTTGCTTAAGCCTTGCTCAGTGTTATAGCAACTTCCTGTTGCCTTCTGATCAAGATGTAGCCAGCACCCTGTCTGCCTGCACGCTGCCACGCTCTCCACCATAATGATAATGGACTAAACCTCTGAGACTGTAAACACAGCACTCCAAGTAAATGTTTTCCTTTATAAGAGTTGCTGTGGTCTTGGTGTCTCTTCACAGCAGTAGAAACCCTAACTAAGACACTAACCCTTGATATTTTCTCAGCCTATGCTTCTCCTCATCATCCATTTTCCAAATATAACCTTCTTTTGACAAGAAATTTCTGGGTTCTGGTGTATTACCAAAAATGCCTTCATTGTGATTATAGTATAGAGAAGAATTAAAATCTTCTAACATTTATTTTCAATGTGTGTATTTGTTTTACTTGCATGTGTGTTTGTGCACCACATTCCTGCCTGGTGCCCAAATAGGCCAGAAGATGGTGTCAGAGTCCCTAGAACTGGAATCACAAGTGGTTGTGAGTCACCATGTGGGTGCTAGGAATTGATCTGGGGGGTCCCCAGTGCTCTTGACTGCTGGGACATCTCCAGTCCCCAGTCTTCTTTCTATACCTTTCTATATGCCTGGTACCAAAATGGTCTCCTTTCTTGTTCTTTAAACATATACGGTATTGCTTTCTCCTAGGAAGGCCAAAGTACTTTGTGGATTGTAATTTACTATTCTTATAAATATCCATGAATGAAATAGTGTTAGTGTTTTTATCTCCCAAAATTAGAACATATATGTGTGTGTGTGTGTGTGTGTGTGTGTGTGTGTGGATGTGTTATGATATATGTATGATATATATGTATCATATATCACAAACATATGTATACACACACATATATATAGTTTCAAAGGATAGAACCAAAGACATAGCCTAATTAAGTAATTCTTTTATATTTTCTTATCCTTAGTGTTTAATGTCTTATTTTTTAGATTTTTTTATTATATTAAAAATTTTGTGTGGGGCTGGAAAGATGGCTTAGTGTTAAGAGTGCATACTCTTGGCCAGACAGTGGTGGTGCACACCTTTAATCCCAGCACTTGGGAGGCAGAGCCAGGCGGATCTCTGTGAGTTCGAGGCCAGCCTGATCTACAGAGCAAGATCCAGGACAAGCACCAAAACTACACAGAGAAACCCTGTCTCAAAAACAACAACAACAAAAAAAAAAGAGTGCATACTCTTTTTTAAAAAAATATTTTTATTTGATAATTAATTTAATTTTATATATCAGCCATGAGTGTGCATAATCTTATAGAAGACCCAGGTTGGATTCCCAGCATTCATATCAAATGGCTTACAACCTCCTGTAACTCCAGCTCTAGGGCACCCAATGCTTTTGGCTTCACAGACATCTGTACGCATATGCACATACCTACACACACATGCATATAACTACACACACTCATACATGTCATTAAAAGTAAATCTTAAAGAATATTTGTGCGTGTTTGTTCTCCAAGTCAGAGAGAACTTGTGGAGTCAGGAGTTGATTCTTTTTCCCACTCTGTGGGTCCTGTCATTGAATTCGGGTCCTCCGGCTCTGTGACAATGTCTTTTTCCACTGAGCCACCTCACCAGCCCTTAGCTCCCCTTTTCACCAGTAGTGTTTTATTTATTGACCAATCAGAGCAATTTGACATATAGACCGTCCCACAGCACTT